AAAAAAAAAAAAAAAAAAAAAAAAAAAAAAAAAAAAAAAAAAAAAGGCTACTACAATTTAAATTCACCCCTAGATTATTCCACACTAGCTCCTCTGTGTGGAAGAGCCCTAAAATAAGATGGACTTGAAGCATGTTCAATTGCATGTTAACTGACAATAAAAAAAGGAATGTTTTTACCACAAGGTAACTACTGATAGTTAATTATCCCACTGTAAAACCAGAGTAAAAGTCTTATCAGGAAGTAAACTAGCAACATCAAATAGAGTTGTCACTTAGCTATCTTGTGTGCAAACAACTAGCACGCATTAGCTATCTTGCTGGGGAGGGGAGAGAAACCCACGTACAGCAGAAGGGCCTCCTAGTTCCTCACTTAATAATCACAAAGAAGCTCATGCATTGATGACCAATTATGTTTCTAAACACAAAAGGCTCTCCAGACATAGACAGTTTTCATGCAACACCTGAGTTACTTAAATAGGTATAGTGTTTCCTCAAGTGCAAGGAACATAAACCAGTATTTCGAGGGACCCTGAAGTTTTCATCCAAGTTTCAGCAGTGGCAGCTCACCAGTACTCTGGTGGAAAGTAGAACGATGGGGTGAGGAAATCAGAATCACATCACTGCAAATGACCTATGGTCCATGTACAGCACCAAGACGGGCATGGGGAGAACCCTGGGCAGAACACCCCTCAAGTCAAAACTATTTGTTATATATTGATGCTGGGCCTAAGCCCACCAGAAACTAACAAGCCCCCTTCAATGACTAGAGCAAGGCCAATGGGACAAAAACCATGAGAAAACAGCAACAGGGGTGCAGGGTATAGGTTAATAACTAGGGTGCCAAGGGACATCAGGCAATGGGACACTGTGCAAAAGTCAAAGGCATGGATCTCAGGACAACATCAGGAACTAGTACTGGAAATTACTATACCAAAGCGATGAAAATTCCCCGATAGATACTGAATAAATTCATTTAGACAACCAAGTCTGCATGATCATTGAAAACATCCTCTTGCCCCAAAGCAAACCAAACGAGAACAGCTATTTTTAGCCAGCTTCGACTACTAAAAACATAATCTATACGAGGACTACGTGATCCATTTTGTGCAGATCGATGCACCTCTCCCAAAACACCTCCCCCTGCTGGCAGAAAACATGGTGACCCGCGCGGTAGTGAACGTGCAGAGCAGAGTGACTGCAATTCCTCCCTTTGCAACCGCAGCGGGAAAGAGTGAACTGCCTTGGTCAGCCCATTACCTGGGCAAGGGCCACAGGATGAACAGCGCAGCACAAAGCCTGGATCCCTGCACACACTCACTAGATCTACAGTCCCACCAAGTTATGCCAGGCCTAAATCATAAGCTGTGTCACAGCAACTCCCCAGTGTGGAAGGAAAGGCTGTCTCGATACATCCTTGCAGACCCAGGAGTTGTGAAGAGCTTCACTTCCTCTTCCTGCTGCACCTTCCTCAGCAACCCACAGGCCTCTATGGAGGGGCTGCTCCTTCGGACCCCCCAGCGGGCTCCCTTTGCTCAGCCAGCTGCTCCCAGACAGCTCCTCTCCCCCCCCCCCCCCCCCCCAGCCCCCCCAAGTCAGGCACCCGCTGGGGCCCTCCTCAGTGCCCCTGCCCCCATTATCAGGTGCCCCCAGTGGCCTCCTCAATGCCAGCCCCCTGCAGCCAGACACCCCCTAGGATCTTCCTCAGTGCCCCCCCTTAGCCAGGCACCCTACAGGACACCGCTCAGTGTCACCCCCCCCCTCAGCCAGGTGTCACCAGAGCCCTCCTCAATACCT